CTCCTTCCTAGACAGTCGCTTCCCATCTTGTATGTATGGAACTGATTGTTCCTTCCTAAGTGGAGCACTTTGCATTTCTCTTTATTAAACCTCATCCTGTTTACCTCTGACCATTTCTCTAACTTGCTAAGGTCATTTTGAATTATGTCCCTATCCTCCAAAGAAGTCGCAACCCCACCCAGTTTGGTATCATCTGCAAACTTAGTCAACACCTAATGCCACATCCCCCCAAAGGACTCTGGTTCCAGTCTCGGGGATGGGAAGAGCTAGGGGGCAGATTACCTCTGAAGGGAGCAGGCGATACTGAATGTCGTAGGCCACAGCACACTCCGAGGGCAAAGGGCGAACGGCAAAGCCTAGCACGCCCCCAGAGAAAGCTAACCGTGCTGGACAAAACGGTGGGTGGAGGTACAAACAGCTGTCACCTCTGGAACAGCTGTACTTGAGCCGCTGCGTTCTGGGAGAGAGGTAGCGCACTCATCCCTTTCTTCATTTTCTGCGGGGAGTCACTCTCTGGCTTGGGATTTTTGCTTGCCACGTGTTTGTTCTGATAGATGGGAGGTCCGCCAACCCATTTCTTGGCCCATGCAAGACTTCCTCCTCCAGTGCATTCACTAGCGGTTTTTTAGGGTCACTGTAACAACCCCAAGCATTGGAGGTTCCACCATGTCCCTTCGAGGGGTGCTTCTTAGGCAGTGCTACCCAGAGGCCTTCCAGAGATACAACAACTCTTTTAGGTCTTGGCCTAGTTTTATCACAGGCTACATGAAAATCCCTAGCGCGGTCAGTACAAACCCCAATTTCATACAGACAACGAGTTGGTTATACGGCTCTGTATACTGGTCACTGAAATGTAAGTACAAGATGTCTACTCCACTGGGTTTATCTGATAATTATCTGGTAAGAATGCGAAAGTCAACATTTTTCAGCAGTTGTGTTCTGCAACCCGTTTGTATTTGTACGGCTGAGTTTTTAGACGTTAGGTGAGGTGAAACTTTGGAGGGACACGCAAGAGAAATCAGACTCCTGAAGGGGTGCCGTAATATGGAGCAGGTGAGAGCCACTGCCTTAGAAGACACGTCCAGACCCTAACCCGGTACGTTGTTCGTTCATCTCCCATCTTGCGGCTCTTTCTCAGCCAGGCAGGCGTTTTCAAAATGAAGTGTCAGGGGCACACTGTGTTCCGAAAATGGTCCCTAAATTACCCTAGGGTCATGACCAGAGCTTGGGTGGTCAACCCCACGTGTTAGAGCAGGGGTAAAGGTCAGGGGTCAAGGGTCAGAGTCAGTGACTCAATCTACAAGTTAGAACTAGAACGTATGATCAGTCAAGAACAAGGGTGTGTCTAGACTACAGAGTTTTGTCGACAAAGTGGCCTTTTGTCGACAAAACTATACCTGCGTCTACACTACCGCTGAGTTCTGTCGACATAACGTCGACAGAACTCAGCAGTTTTGTCGATGCTGGTAAACCTCATTTTACGAGGCATAACGCCTTCTGTCGACAGTTCTGTCGACAGAAGGTGTTATTGCATGTAGGGTTGTGTCTAGACTACAGGGTTTTGTCGACAAAGCAGCTTGCTTTGTTGACAGAACTGAATGTAGTCTAGACGCTCTTTGTCGACAGAAGCTTTGTCAACAAAACCCTGTAGTCTAGACGTACCCCAAAGCCGAATGCGCCAGAATCTCACTGCCAGAAACAACCATACAAAATATCTAAAAATCCCTCCCCCTCCCCAAAAAAATCATTTCATTTCTCTGTTTTCTGAAAGAAATGTTTCCATTTTTAATTGAGCAACTATTTTTGAATTTTAAATCAGTTTTATAAAAAGGGGGAAAAAATCCCACCCCCTCACCCAAATAAACAGAATAATTTATGGTGGAGCAAATGACATGTTTTGTTCAACCCAAAATGAGGCGTTTTGTATGTTTTCAGTTTGCTAAACATTTTTAAAAAATGTTATTTCAGGTCAACTTGAAAGATTAATTTTAAAATTGTTTTTGTTCAG